CCTGTGGGTCTCAGTTCTCCAGACTTCATCTTATCTTGTCCCTATGTAAACTACATATTGTTTGGAAAAAGCATTTTATGATAAAATACATGAAAAAGCAAAAGCTGCGAGCAGTACATCTGAGATCCAACAACTGCACAAAAAATGCCAAGCATTTTTTTTATTAAAATGTAAACCTATTCTTCCCATCTCAAAAAACTAATCCAGTCTTCTTGTCATTTTGATAAGCCAGTGGTCTCTGGCTGGAAGCAGACAGGCCAAGTCTTGCAGGAAATTGGGAAAAGGAGGAGACGGTGAAGGAAAGTGGATATATGTTAATAGTTAGAAAAACAGAATCACTACTTAGCTTATCATGAAAAATTACAGGAGGCTAAATTCCCCCATTTACCTCTCATGCAAGAGGGAATAACTACACTGTGGTAATAACATTCATTTTAAGACAATTTGCTGTCTCACCAGATTCATTATTTTGTGAAAATTTGCCATTATTTTGCATTAAAGTAATAGCTTGTGTTCCACAATCGATTGTGTTTACAAGGAGAGAAGCCTCCCAGTAAGGTCACTGAACTGCAGTAACCCTCAGCTTTTAGCAAAAGCCTGACTGGACCCCATCACCTCCTGATAAAGTCATTGCGCAGCCAAAAGCTGCTAAATGCCTTCCAGCTCCTTCTTTCGTATTCTCCCTCCACCCTTTTTTAAACACAAATCCAAAAGAAAAAATTGATGGAGAATGAAATCCATACAGATGTAACACACAGTGACACATATTCCTATGTTAACTTGTGAGAGATCAACACTGCCTATTATTTCAGGAGAATGGGTTCATGTATCATCATTAAATCCCCAACTGAACAAAAAACCCCAAGAACTGGTATCCAATACACAGCATCCAAAAATTCCTAGGTGTGGACAATGGGACTGCAGCAACTGCAGCTTCCCTTTCCTTACCATGTTAACGGAGGCCAACAGTGAGCATGACTATGTTTGTCAAACTATTAGAGATGGAAATCTCATGGAGACAGTATTTCTTCAACCTGTGTGGGATTATACAACTATCCACAGGACATTCTGCGTAGCACACAGCAAAACGCATCAGCATAAGCAATGAATTGCAGGGCTGCTGTCAAATTGTGCTGAATATACAGTTTCTAGTTACATCTCTGAGCTCTGCACACAAAGATACCTCCTGATGTACCAAGTGCTGCAATTAGAAATGGCAGAATGACGGACTGATGGATGGTGCTGTGTTGTGTCACTTTGCCATACATACCTTACCTCTTGCCCAGTGAAAGAAAAGAAAAACCTCCACAATTCTGATATTTTTTTCTTTCCTCTATAGGAAAGATTCACTTTCCCTTTTATAAAAAAACAAAACAAAACAACAAACCACCCCAAAAAAACCCAAAACCCAAACACAAACAAAAACCACCAAACCCAAAAAACAACAACAAAACCCAACACCCCACAGTACAGCTACAGCCACACAGCACATATCGCTGGAAAGCATTAAGCCATGAAGAACCGCAGCCACATGCACAGATACAATTCAGACCTGATCTGCTAAATAGATCTTCCTTCTTGAGAAGATCATAACTTACTGTGTCTTGAAAAGTTAGTACACTTTGATTTTGAATTGCTATCAAAAAAGGGAATATGCTTATTCAACCCTATGAGGGTGGGAAGTATCAATAAAAATCTTCATTTATCCTTTTTCCAAGTTAATGCAATATGGGACCAAACAAAGGTACAATCCTCCCAGGAGCCAGGATGACAGGAATTTTGCCACCTTGCTTGTGCCTCACAGATGCAGAGCAGTGATGGATCTAATAAACTTCTGGAAATAATCTCTGGAAGTAACACCAGCAGCCACCTCCTGATCCATTTCTTTAAACACACAGCACTTTACTCAGCAATTGTCTTCTCTCACTTGGACTGAGATGTCATTCATGATCCTTTTCTGACTACATACTGGTTGCAACAGAGACCATGTTGACTACGTGCAAGTTCAACAGAAGATTGTAGCAAGCAAGACATTCTAGTTCCACATCACAGATGCATATTCAGTATATATCACACAACAGAACTCTGTTGGGTGTCACAAGAAAATCCTTTCAAAAGACAAACAAAACTAACTCTTGTTAATTCAGAAATTCATAGTTATAAATACCATTACTGTGCAGACTAGATTTCTCTCTCATATTGTTACCCTTCTGCTCCATTTATCCACTCTATCCTCTTGTATAAAAAGTTCATGACCTTTGAGAATTACGTCTCTGAAACACAAGGCATACCTGATTTGTTTGTTTCATAAAGCCGCTGATACAACTTGCCTTCGTTGTTCGTAAGGACATTTCAGCTATACTATTTTTACTATTCAGTGTGAAAATAAACACAAATGCAAAAAGACCCTCCAGAATGGTAACTCTCAAATCCAAATCATATGAAGAAGAAAAGTAAGACATTAATGTTCACTCACCAGTGGCCCTCCACAGTAGTGGATCAGTCTTTGCTTCTATATACAAAGAATGCTGTTGGGTCTATCAGACCTGAAGGAGATATCCATACTTGGCTCCTTAGCACAATAACATTTTCTATCAGTGAGAACATGCTTGCCTCCAAAACTGTACCCAACTGATAGGGTAGTGTGCAGGCACCACACTTACTCTGGGAGCAAGTATTTTGAAAATAAAAAAATACACTGTATTCAAACAGCACAGCTTCCTCAGATATCTTCTGCATAACACCCTTGGATACCTTCTGTGTAACAATCTCCGACAACTGCACCTATTCCATGCTGTTCACAGTACAGGAAGTTTCCTTGTCCTAAAGGATCATACTGTCACCTGGTCCAAGACAATACACTAACCTTGGAGAGGGGGGAAACCAGAGCAAAAGAAGAGATTTCTGTCTCCTCTGCTGAAGAGCCTTTGCCCTGGCAGTCCAGGCACTCCAGTGGCTGCAAGGACTGGCAGTTGCTGCCACCAGGTGGCTCAGGAAAGAGGGACAGCCAAGGCTGTCAGGGGGACCGGACCTCCCCAGGCATCCACTGCACACCCATGCACCAGGACAGAAAGAGTAGGCAGCAATCAAGGGGTGCTGCCGCCTGCCCTGAAGGGGGCTCATTGGCTACATCAGGCAGCAATAAACTTCTCTGCTGCCTGGGCTAACCTTTCTGTAGGGGGTGGCACTGTCCAGAGAAAGCTGGGGAGAGTGATCTCTGTGAAAGAGAAGACAAGAGTTCTGTGTGAACAGGGGAGGCTGTGCTGCACCAGCTCAGAGAATGAAGGCTATTTAAAATTCTTCAGAAGAGGGATCTGAGTGGAAGCTGAAGCTATAAATTAACCAAGTGCTGGTGCATTCTTGAGACTCGTTATAATTAGCATCAATGTGGAAAAGAAAGCAAAAAGAAATGACGGACAGCTTGACATAGATTAAGCCAGAGGAAGAGTAACCGAGAAGGGTCTGCAACCTAATCATTTAAGTCACAAGAGAAAAAATAACTCGCCTATGGAAAACTGATTTCTCCCCTGAGATGGATTTAAACATCTTAAGAAATTGCCCAGAACTGCAGGGAAAGGTAGGTATTTACAAGTGTCATTCTCAGATTTATGAAAGTTGTGTCTGCCAAAATTTTCTCCCCAACTCTCAGGGAGTCTCACGCTGAAGTAGTTTCATTTGCACCTTCAATCCACTTTGATGTCCTCACTTGAGCAGGGTGAAAAGATTACAGACTCCATTTGAACTGTATTTTCTCCTCCCCCCCCGATTTTGATATAATCTTAAAAACAAACTTTCATTTGTAACATGTTAAAAGGGTTGATATAAGTTTGGTTTTGGAGTTGGAAAGACATTTTCCTCCTTGTGGTGCCAAGTTATCAAATGTTGATGATTGGCTTATCTTGGATAAAAAGTACAGTTCACAGATCTGGAACACGGAAATACTTAATCTGTTAGTAAATCATTAGCTTTAAAGAACAGATAGTACACTGTATGTTGACCTTAAATCGTAAAAGAATTCATAGTGAGGATACGGAACACTGGATGGCGAGTTTAAGCCTACCAACAGTTAACTTCATGGTGTATCATTTCCATTTTTAAGTTCACAGTCCCCATATGGACCACAGGATTGACTAACCACTGGTTTAGCTCACTGGGAGATGGTGCTAGTGACCAGAATAGACATAAAGTTTAAAAGCCTTCTTTGGCCTCCACTGTGCTGTGAGAGAGGCAGATGAAGATCTCTTTGCTTTGCTGTTTCTATCCTTCCCACTGAAAGAAAACCAGAGATCTGAGTTGAGAAAGATTAGTTTGAGATGCACATTACACAGTGCCACAGGGCTCTATAACCACTAACACTGGATCGACTGTGAGTAGCTGGTGGAGCAGATATGGAGGAAATGAGGTAATAGCTTCACCACTGAATTAATAAAGTTGAAAACTAGTTCTTAAGTCCACTTATGGATTCTTCAGACACTGGCATTCTGTGATCAGCACTGGAAACATTCATACCAGGAATACACACTCTTATGCCAATCACACTACATTATCTCACTGAGGAAAGCTGATTTTAAACAAAACCATTTTAAATGGTCACAGAATTGTTTCCATGTAGAGTAAGAAAGACTTAATTATTCATGCTCCATTCTTTTTTGTACCTCAAAAGAAAAAATTCCTTAGTATATTAAAAAATATTTGACTCATCCAAAAGTTTTCAAGCTAGTCAGACTTAATAAAATCCACATGACTTCTGCAGATTTTGAGTTTCCACTCCAGAACATAATGGAGCTAAATATTACACCCACTGATAATCTTCCAGCCTTGCTTTCACCTCTTCTGCATTAATGCTAGACTACTGCTTTTTTATTGAAGTCCTATTAGCATAAAATCAACATAAAGTGGGAATAATAAGGTTTCCCTGTCTCTTTTCCAAATCTTAATGCAGAAGAAAAGGCAAACCAGTTTTGAGATCAAGTAATAAAACTACCAGCAAAACCTACAGGGAAAGCAGAGAGGGATTCACTGAAAACCACCAAGAGGAGCTCATCTAAAAATCTAGGCCTTGAAGTATCCTCAAAGGTCACCTAGTCTATTCTTCTGCCACAAGCTGGACTACATTACATCAGTTTAGCCAGTTACTTGTCTAATCTGTTTTTAAAGGCCTACAATAATAAATCTCCACACTTTCCAGATGATCCCACTGTTTTAATATTTCTTTTCGGATTTCCCTTCCCAGCATTTATTCAAATCTTTTTTTTTGTACAAGTGAATTTAAAGAACTCACTGCTTGTTCTATCCATCATGGACAAAGAAAAGTTTATTTTCCCTCTTTCTTCATACATCTTTAATTTTGTTGAACACTTGGATTCAGCCTTTCTTCTCTGTGATAATGAACTGCAAAACTTTCTACAGATAGTATTAGTTTCAGATCTTTGGTCCCTCTGTATTTTCTACTTAGTCCTTTCCCCCACTTTTTCAGGTCTCTGTGGAACTGCACAGCCCACACTCAAATGCTATACACAAACATTAAGTAGATCACAAGGATTTTGTGGGAATTCTCTTTTCTCAACTTACAGATCAGATAATGTTTTGCAGCTGAGTTAACTCACCAAATACTTCGTTATCCTCTGAAGACTGCTGCGTTAGTCTGGCTGCTTTTGGACTCTCTTTAGCTGATTCCTCCACCTTGGTTTCAGCATTCTGTAAAGCAAGCGTTGCTTCAGATTAGGTCTTTTATAGTTATCAACCAGAAATATTCTTCAAACTTCTTAAATATGCACACATTATGTTCTTCATGAATACAGAATCATTAACACAGAGGGTCTTCGTATCTTTACTACATATATGTAGTTTTACAAAATACTGAGTGAAAATACTTTCAGAGACACAGTTGTGGGGGTTTGGTTTTTGGTTTTGTGTTTTTTTTGAGTCTGTTTAACTACAGGACATAAAATTGAGGGTTAGAGAAGACATCTAAGTAAGAGAGAGATCTTAAAAACCATGACAGACTTGTAAGTTTCCACCTTTCCTCCTCATATTTCATTTTCTTTCTATTGGCATCTTCCGTTGTTGACTTAGTGAACCAAGAGATCAGGAGATACTGCACAAATATTTCTCCTTGCAGAGCAAAGGCAAGTGAGCTAGAGAGAGCTTAGGAGCAACCACCTTCAAGTCTTTAACACCAACTCATGCACTTAACTGTTTAAAGCGCAGTTATCTATTTCTGAAACAAATCTGTCAGTTAGCTACCTGGTGTTGGACTGGGCCGAAAGATAATGCAACAGTTTCAGCACGTAAACTGACAAAAGTCAAAGCATTTCCTTCTTTAGCTAGAAAAGACTGAAGAAAATATAACCTGTGAAACACTGAATTTTTAATATTTATATTGCTAATAAAGAAAAAATAACTCACGTTTTACTTTGGTACTCAAGAGAAACGTACATGAAAGCTTTCAGCAATGCAGACAGTAAACTGCATATGCGGTCAGCTACTGAGCAATGGATATGAAGTGGCTGATGCATTAAATATTATTGGAAAGAAAGGACTACAAGTTGAAGAAGGAAAAAAGACAAATGTAGTTAGTATGCCTATGTTTTTTACAGGACAGATACTGCTCTATTCAAGTAGACAGTCCTTCAGAAGGCTTTGTGTGGAATTTTGGAGAAATCACGTTTGTACAATTTAAAAATTCTGACTTAGTTTAGAAAATGCTGCTATACAATATGTCCATCAAAACTACTGGTTCTGCCCTCAGAAACATAGCAGTATACTTCCAAACCATAAGCTGTCTCTTATTTCCCTTACTAATAACCATATATAAGAAGGCAGGTAGATTAAGTCTGTCCACCTCCCTATAGAACACAGGAGTACAAACATAGGGCATGTAAACTCAAGAGACTTTTAAGCAAGACAGCAAGCTTCGTCGGAAAAAAATGAAAGAAAAACCTAGGAAGCCTACTGGTGTCACACAGCAGCAAACAATTAAAGAAAACAGAACAGGAAAGAAGGAGAAACTGTGCTTCAGAGGAAGAAACACCTGCATGAGAGAAATGATTCTGCTGTTCCTCATGCTTTTGGGTAAAAGCTGAAAATCTGTGAACTGCTGCAAGGCATTCAAGAGCAGTAGCAACAAAATACTACCCAACAGATACTCAGTGGTGTCTATGAAACGAGTTGCCACTCCAAGTTCTTACTAGAGAGATATCTGCATTTCTTACTTTAAAAATACAGTTTTGGCAGTGTCAAGGAAATTAGAAAGACTGAACCATAAGAGATTTCGGTTTGAGTTAAATCACTGGGAAGAACTACACAGCAGCTGTGCTCTCTGCTCCACGGGTAAGACACAATGTTGGCATTGACAGGTACCAGCTCCAAGACATTGACAGGAAAGTTGTGTGATATATCAGCCTAAAACAAGACTGCGCATGGCTGGATGTAAATCCACTTGGCATGGCTTCTCACAAAATACAAACTTTTAAAAGATTTCTTTTGCTTTATTATTTGCAATAAAAAATTTACACGACACATTGTAACTGGCATTCCTAATATTCGTATTACCAAAACCAATACAAGAAAAATCACTGCAAAAGAACAGTCAATGGTCCAGATGTTCTAAAACTAATACTAATAATACAAATCAGCATTTTAAAAGACAAGATTTAGCCTGCTGCTTAATTATTTTTTCTAGTGCCCTAAAAAATTCTTGTGTGTCTCTATCCTTTCAATAAATTAACAGAAAATGTGAAAACACATTACCCTTTCACTGCCTGAGCTGTGCCAGGAGGGATTCTTCACCTACAGTTATAAAGTGCTTATGGTTGGTTATAAAATAAAAGTGGCTTGTACATAACACAGTAAACGTAATTCTGTCTAGCTCTTACTTTCAGGCTGTGCACTCAGAGCAATTTTGGAAGTGATGTGCAAAACAGGTTTATTTTATAGTATCAGTTCCCCAGAACTACAAATTACACCTGATTTTAGCAGGAAATATATATTACTTAGGCCTAAATTCACAAAACCTCTCTCTCTCTCCAGAAAGCATCTCCTCAACCACCACAAAAACAAGCGTTAAACTGGAACTCAAGCAGCTATGTTGCCAAGAAAATACAAGACTTGGAATGGAAAGTTGTACTCTGGGGTATCCAAGCCAGCTTTTTAACTATCTTGCCATTTTTGCATACTAGTAAGGAAGAGCTTGTTTCTTTTCCTTTAACCACAAAGCTTTTACTCAATGACTTCAGAAAAGTTAAAACTGCTCTTCAGAAAACCATTATTCAGAAGTGTTATACCTAAAAAGAGAATTAAAAAAATCCAGTGTGAAGCAGAGATTTGTATTGTCTGTGCTCTCATTCCTGCCCTTTACAATTTACTCTGTTTTCTAATTATGTAGCTAGAATGTTTATCTCCATCTCAATGGCACAAATGAAAACAGACTGCAATTGCAATTTCCTTTCCCCCCACACCCCCGAAAAGTCATAGCACAGCCATTTCTCCAGCTCCTTCTCTCATTCTCATTCACTCCCTGCACTTAAGTCATCAACATCTAGCAGAAATGGAGGGGACAGAGGGTGACAGACACACACATGGTAAAATACTTCATTCTTCCTCTATGCTGCAGCTAGGAAATTAATATAAAAAAACCAGACACCACCTCAAAAGACAGACAAGAGTTTCTAGTGGATAAAATCAGATTTGACTGGCAATAAATGTCCATTTTGGAATAACAGGAAAAGGGTAAATTGCTGCAGGCAGTAGCAATCTTGATAATCTATACTGTATCCATAGCAGGAGATCACGCAACACCAGACCTGGCTGAAGAACTCTGCAAAACATGCCTCACCTTCCGCTTCTGCACTGACACTCACCTAAATTCTATCATGCAAGGCTACCTTTTATCTATTATTCACAATGTGTGTATGATGTTCAAGTTACAGTATACCTTCAGGACATTGCATGTTACCTCTTCTCAGATCTAACTGATCTTCCACAAGGTTCCAGGGGGAAAAAAAAAAAAATAAGAAAAATCTTTAAATCATGGATATGTGTTCCTTCAAAAATGTGACAGTAACATGATTGAGAGCCATGTATCAGTAAGTCTGTCAAATGCATAACCGTTTCTCTAAATACCAAATACTGCTTCAATTGGCAGGACAGGCTGTAAGTCATACTTAACAATAACCATTTCCTTTTCACTTCCGTATTCTGCATCTGCAAATTAAGCACCTACAATGCTGTTTTCATGAAAACTGGAGATGTTCCTTGCTATTTTCTTCTCATAGACCTCCATCAGCTTCAAAGTTTTTATCTCTTGTTCACTGTAATGAATTTTACACACACAGCTTAACTCAAACAGATGAGATGCTGTGAACAACCCTTATTAGCAGCAACAATTCATGCAATGGCAGTCAACCCTCTTTGGATGAGCAGGTACCTCTTGTACCTGCATTACTTTGTTCAAACATCTTTCTAAACTCACTTGTTAATTCTTCTTAACTGGAGACTTTCCAAGCCTATTAATACAGAAACCCATACACATACTAGCAAGCACCAGGCTTCTTGCACAGAACATAAATGGCGAATTTTAACAATGCCATACTGGCTAATTCCTACTCCCAGGCAAGACTACTACCATCATTCAGAACAGGGTTATGCCAGACTGAAGCTGGGCTCATGTTATCTCTACAGCTTCAAGCTCTTGAAAATGCTATGTTAGTTCATTCTTTCATTCCCATCAGTTATGAAAAGGATTCAATTTTTCCCATCAATTTTCAGACAAATAAAATAACTTTTAAATAGCAAGCTAATCGCAATCATTATATCTGTTTTTCAGGTATGCCTCACATTCTCAGTTTAATTTTCACTTACACAGATTCAGCTTCTAAAATGCAACACTCAAAATATCCTCCACTCCGTAACTTCTATATAGAGTAATTATTCTTATGTTCCTGTGCATGTGTCAAAATTTTACTTAAGGCAAAAGAATGGCTAAAAAAAATAAATGATAGAGTGATGGAAAGAGAGAGGCCTGGAGTTTTCCAAGGATAGTTTTCTGCTCCTCTCAGCTTCAATGGTACAGTTACTGCTAATGTCACTGACAGATAATTTCAAAAGAAGTTTCAAACAAAAGGATCTCATCACTAACCCCCAAGGCAAGCAAAGGTCCTTTGAAAAATGGTTGCGATGCCTCAAACATAATATCCAGGTCTTTGAAGAAAAGCATTCAATCTATTTTAAAACCTTAAGATACTGAGGAATTGCAGTAAAAAAACCACTGAATTCCAACTCAAAAATTTGCTACATTCCCCATTATAAGTTCCACACTATTTTGTTACATGCTTCCCTCCATTTATGAAGGGCACTTTAAAACTGTTCTTGTTTGTGGAGAAGTTCTTACATACTGGGTTAATACACAGGACATCTTGCCTTATATAGCAATTCTGTTTCATTTTGAGAAAAGATTTCTGACCACAGTGGGGTTTACGTGTTTTATAACTGAACCAAAATATCTTCAGCTCAGAACGTAACACAAAGACAAGCAATGGTTCCACCATATGCCACTAATCAGCTTTTACTAGTCCATAACTTACTCTCACAATGCTGAGGAGGGAGGCTCAAGCATGCAACAGGTAGGAAACAAGTGATTATGTTACTGTGTCCATACCACTGGCAGAGGTTAATTGCATTTGGGAGCAAGGTGCCAA